AAGCTGCATGTTGTTGATAGTCTGTACACACATACCAGTTGTGGAATCAAATTAGGGTATAAAGGATTATGAGCCTTAGAGTCTTGATTAAATTTTTTTTATATTACAAAAACAGTAACCATTGTGAAAAACAAATAATTTTAGAGGTTATATCATAAAGATGTCTCTTCAATGATGGATCAGGGTAATTACTATCAGCAGTTTTTGGCTTACTGTTTTTTTCATTTATACTGTTTATCTGTGGCAATTATATATTCATTTAAAATGAATATACACAAATGAAAGACATGTATTTTGTGTACCTAGATGTTTTAATAATATAAATTGAAGAGTCTATATCAGCCCATATAAATTTATCTCATTCTTATCAGTTGACTATGATTTCAATAAATGAAAGTTCCATAAGTTTATGGTGGTTTTTGTTTGTTTGTTTGTTTGTTTTTCGTTTTGTTTTGCTTTTGCTTTGTTATTTGCCAGCTTTTTCTAGTTTTGGGCTTGCTCAATGTTATAGTTGATACATTGTTTCTACTTGAAAAGTTTAGAAGACTCAGCAGAGAGCCAGGATCCTTAGTTTGTAAATATCCTCATGGTTTGTAGGAGGAGGGCAGAGAGATTTTATGACTGATATCCCTGCCCAGGGTGGGGGGTTGGACTGTCTGTGATATAAGGGAGGAAAAGAGGCTTGCTCTTACCCCTTTTGCTCTGGCTCTGGCCTTGAAGTTTTTGCCCCAGTGATGTGCCACCCTGCCTTGGAGACAGTTGATAATGGACTGAAACCTCCGGACTGTAAGCTAAATACACCTTTTTTTTTTTTTTTTTTTTTTTTTTTTTTTTTTTCTAATTTTGGTATTTTGTCCCAGCAACAAGAGAAAAATAACCAACACTCTCAAATTTGGTAATATTTTTTAAGATGCCATTATAGATATTATTGTACATAAATCTTACCATTCATATATATGTGACTGTAGATAGTAATTTGTCTTTTTTGTGATAATGGATTTAATAGAATATAAATAATTTTGAGGGGATCATGAATCAAACTCATGACCTTATACTTGCTAAATAAGTTTTAAATGGCTCTTCTTACTAAAATGATCATGTATTGGAAGATAGTGGAGGAGTCTCCTCTTTTCCATAGTTTTAGTTACCTGAGGTCAGTCATGACCCAAAAGCATTAAATGAAAAGTTTCAGGAATAAATAATGCATAAGTTTTATACAACTGTTATAGCATAGAGTATTATTACGTCTATTTTATTATTGTTGCCTCACTGTTCTTGTTACATAAACTAAACTTTATCATAGATATTTATGGGTATATAGGAAGAGGATGCAGAGTGGTTGGTGCGGTCTGTGGTCTTCGGCTTCTCCCTGGGATCTTGGCATCCTCCATCCCCCATGCTTAAGGAGGCAGCCAATGCATGTGTTTCTGAGCATCGATTTGGGCGCTCTCATCTGCCCTGCACTCAGACTGGGGGGTTAATACAAAGTCCTTGATTGACAATTTTTATTTAATGTCATACATTTATTTCATTTATTGTATTGATGATAAATGTGAGCATCCTTTTACATTCAAAAATCATTTCTGAGACAGAACAAATAGCTCGCCTTCATTTCCTACTTCAGGAGGATGTGAAATCTTCAGAAATCTTTGCAGAAGTATAGTTTTTTTGAGAAACAAGAATTGTTAAGTAAGCCAGTAATGTGTTTCTGAAAATGTTTTTGTTTGTTTGTTTGTTTTGAGGGGGTGTGGATAGACCCCCTCAAACCTGGCCTCTAACTTGCATTAATCCTCCTGCCTCAGCCTCCCAAGTGCTGGGATGACAGGTGTGTGCCACCATGCCCAGCATGTTTTTTTTTTTATTTTTCTCTCTGCACATTGGAAGTCTTGAGAATTACTATTTTCAGTGCAAAGAGGGATCAGGTAAGTTGGGAAGAAACTGTATACAGTATCCTCCAACCTCCTAATTAGACACTTCACATTAGATAGTAAAGTCCCTTTCAAACTCAGTATTTTTCAAACTGTAAGATAGTTTTAGAGACTGTTTTAGAGGACTTTCCAAGGAGTACTCCCTATTGACTTAAATGTTAGAGCTGGTTAATTGAGCACGTATATTATAGTATAAAACCACATCATGGGACTGGGGATGTTGTAGCTCAGTGCTACAGCACTTGTCAAGCACATGTTGAGGTCCTAGGTTCGATCCCCAATATGCTGCCCACCGCCCCATCACATCGTGTTGCTTGTGAATGAGAGATCATTGTAGATAAAAGACTTGTTCTGGAAGGAAATCATAGTAGCAGGCTTATCCCGTCAGAGTCCCAGTGCTCAGGACAAGCCAAACACCTCTCCTGTTAGGAAATTAAAATGTTGTGAACTTAGATGTTTCCCTGACCTAGTTGGATTTCTTGGATGCACAATTCTCAAAGTGAGAATTTTTATATTTCCATGGTGGACACATCTGTAATTTTGTTTTGGTAATGATTAATAATAAATGAGAGAAGGGCTGGGCTTCTTGGTGCATGCCTGTAATCTAGCAACTTAAGAGGCTGAGGAAGGACAGTCTTAACTTTGAGGCTAACCTGGGCAGTTTAGTGAAAACCTGCCTTAAAATAAAAAAAAGTGAAAAGGTGGAGATGTAGCTCTGGTAGAGAGCTTGCCTCGCCCGGGTGAGGCTTGAGTTTAATACCCAGTGCAGGAGAGAAGCAGGACGGGAGAGAACATAGAGACCACACAGAGACAGACAGGAAGAGAAAGGCAGGGGGAGAGGGAGAAATGAGAAGGAAGTGTGAGCTCTGCTGGACAGAGAAGGGCCAGAAATACATATTTCTGAGTTGAATGGCTCATCAGCTGATAGGCTGGTGTCTGTCCCTACATAAGTCTTGTGATCGAAGTGCCGGTACCTTTTGGCAGCATGGCACAGGCACACCTAGAAATAGTGCTGTACTCTCAGGTCAAGTTGACACCCAGAAAGCAATCAGCTCACTAGTTAAGTTTGTTTTTTTTTTTTTTTTTTTTTTTTTTTTTTTTTTTTTTTTTTTTTTGGTCTTTTTCCTTTTTATCGGTACCAGGGATTGAACTCACGACTGCCTGCTTGCAAGGCAGGCGCTTAGGCCGCTGAGCCAAATCCCCAGCCCCCTCTAGTTAAGTTTTTTTTGTGCTGCACTCTCAGAGCCTATCACGTCTTTCCTTCACAATAATACTGACCTGTTTTTAATACTTGTTTGTTGATATGATTAATTGGATAATGCGTGCAGGGGTTTCCCCCTGTTCTGGGCACCGAATCCAGGGCTAGGAAGCCCTATACCCTGGGCTACACTCCCTGTTCCTATCTTTCCCCTTAACCTCAGGGAAGGCAGGGCCTCTGTTGTCCTGCTCAGCAACTCCCCAATGTGCCCTGTTTTTTAAAAACCCTTGGGATAAAATACCATGCACAGTGGAAAGGAAGCAGGATAAATGGAAGAGAAAATAACATTTCTTTGTGTTTCAAAGTGTATGATAATAGAAAATACAGATACAACTACCATAGCCTTTCCCTCTCCCCAGGGGACAAGCGTCATAATATTATTAATCAACTGGTTAACTTATTTAAGTAATATACTCTTCCCCTTCAATTTTAAGTTGTAGACTTTTAAAAATATTTAAACTACCACAGACCTACAAAACAACTTTTTGTTGATATCAGTTTTTTTTAATATACCGGTGACATAATTTTAAATGTATGAAGTGAATATTATGAAAATTTTCAAAACAAAAATAAGTATAGGCAATGTAACAAATTTCATTTAGTGTTTGGTGGATTAATTAGAAAATCACCAAATTAGAAAAAGATCAAAAATGAGAATTAACAAAAAGAGAATCATTTAATGAAGCAGAAAAACAATAGGAGTATTGGCAAATGGGGAGGTAGCTCAACCCTGCAGCACTTAATCTAGCATGTTTGAGGCCCTGAGCTTAATCTCCAGCCCTCGGGGGACAGGGGCACAAAGCTTGACTAAAAGGCGCGGAAGGGCACAGACCATGTGCCTGCTGCGTGGCAGGCTGAGTTATTAGTTTATTTGCAAGACTTCAAAACTTTGCAGTACAGAATGTTCAGAGCGCATAAAATGAGAAGAATCCACTCCGCAGCAGCACTAGACAGTAAAAGTGAGGCGAAGTTTTGAGGAAGCAAACTGCTTTTCTAAAGCAATGACTCTAGGCAGATTAGTTAGTATGAAGTGTCTATGAGAGATAATGTCATCTCCTTTAAACTGTTACTGTGAATAGAGAGAAAAAAACACGTTCTTTGTTTTTTCATAAATAAAACTAGTATATTACTAACAGCAGCATTTGATAGTCAATCTTTTTATACTTTGCCCCTCTCTCCCCTGCTTCCTACCTGTTTCCTTTCCCCCTCCCTCCTTACTTTTTTTTGAGACAGGCCTTGCTGTATAGTGCAGGCTAACCTTTGTCTCCCAGTGTAGCCCAAATAATCCTCAAACTCCCAGCAATCCTCCTGTCTGCTACCTGCGTGTGCTATCATACCAGCCTGTCACAGTCTTTTTCAGATGAGAAACTGACGCATGGAGATTTTAAATCTCTGGCCTGCAGCCCTTGGCCTGGGATCGTTAAAGCAGCTGCCATTTCAAAGCCATCTGGATGCATAGACCATGTTTGCATATTATGTGAGGGTGCAGTTCAGAAAACACCTGTTGATTGAAGTGGTGAATGAATGCACAATGGTTACTGATGTGCATCTGAGCAGGACCTGTGTTAAACTTCAGGCGTGTCATCTAAGAACTGGTAACTTGAGCTTGTCAGTGAAAAGGAGATCCTGTGACATGGTCACTGTCTGTCTAGAGAGTGGCCATGGGGAATTAAATTCTACCTACCTTTCTTTAAATTGGAGACCTATGTTACTTGTAAATCTAAACTGTTAATCTCATGGAAGATATATATATATATATATATATATATATATATATATATATATTATTATAATTATTTTTTTTTTAATTGTAGGAGAAGCTATTGTCCAGATCTCTTCAGAGGGGTGAAGATCTTCAGTTTGACCAGGTATATCAATTTTGGGGGAATGCTTTTTCCTGGAAGGATAAATTCTGCCTTAATGTTTAAGTTCTAATGTTAAGAAACCCTTTTTGTTTAGCGATCCTGTATATGTTTTAAAAATTATTTAAATTAAAAAAATTTTTTAAAAATTTTCATTAGTACACATTTGCAGTACATACTGATTTACATTCATTGTGGGGAGTCGGTTTGGAGAATAATCTGTGAACTTTATTGACTTTGGTTCATTTAGCATTTTAAAAACTTTTACTTTTTATTCTTTTTTTTTTTTTTTTTTTTTTTTTTGCGGTACCGGGATTTAACTCATGACCTCATACTTGCCAGGCAGGTGCTTATGCCACTGAGCTAAATCCCTAGCCCTTACTTTTTATTCTTAATGTCTTAATACACCGTTTGAAATTTTTCTCAGAATGTTTCCAATTACATGCCACAGTATTTTCTTGTGAACCAATTCCTACAGTTTTTATGTATTAATATTTTACCTTTTAACATTTATTTTTATCCTGTTGTGGTCCTCAGGACATTTGTAAAGAAAACCAGTATCTAAAAACTCACATGATATTACTCTGATGTTAACTCTTTCTCTTGCTTTGATTAAATATTGGTTCAAGTGCTATTTTATCATGATTATTTTTTACTTGTTGATTATTTGAAATAATCAACGACTTAGATTAGCTCTCTTTGCTATCTAGTATTTCTGAGCCAGTTCAAAAAAAAATGTTTTTAAAAAGTAGAAATTAATATTCCTATTAGGCAGATTGATTAGATAAAAAAACACTGATTAGAATTACTTGGTAGAGACTCCCCAAAATGCTGTCCCTGGATCCCAGTCCTATGGTGCAGCAGAATCACAAAGAGTTGTGTGTTTACAATATGATACCTGTATTTACAGTAACTTTCTGTGTGACAGCTGTCTGATGCGTACACTTACATCAGTAAATAGCCACTGATCTAAGAGAAGCCACAAATAGGAAAAAGTTTTGTACCACTATAGAAGTTATTTAGATTGTTCACATTTTGAATAGACTTTACTAAGCAATATATAACTGGGATTTGAAATTGATTAAACAACATTTCAAGAAAGATTTCCATTTGTTTCCTTTGGATGTGATTAATAAAAACTGTGAATGATCATGTCTGATAACTTGCTTTTTCCTCACAGTAAAATCTATGTTTGATGTAAACTTGTTTAGTGTAAATTTGCAATAGCAAATGTTTTATTATTGCTTGCTTTTTTTGGTTGCTGTTGCTTGTTTAGATATTAAATGGAATTTCCTTTGAATGATATTATTCATAGTTAATAAAATATGATTTTTTAATAAAACATGGCTAGCTGGAATTAGAATCTTGTTTTTTTACTTTAGTTCCTTATATTAGAACCTATTTACCTGTCAAATTATAGCAATTTATAATAAAAGAATGATCAAAGGGGTGAATGAATAATGAAAAAGAGAACATCCTACATAATCAAATAAACTATGTCACTTTTTGTATTTTCCTAGATGAAGTATATTTTGAACTTATATGCAGACTGTAAAATACTAGGAAAATAGAATGTTTGCTTTCTAGAGATTTCAATTTTTCTTCATAAATAGATCCTTTTTATAGTTATGGAATCAAAAGAGACATTGATTGTTCCCACAGCCTGCAAGTCAACAGATTGAAGTGTGTTTGACTACATGCTGATTTTCAAGTATTAGTTTTGTGAGCAGTGGGTTGAATCAGGTACAAAAATTTTTGTGAAGAGAAAATTTTTTCTTGGGATGTTCAGGACAAAGAATGACATAGAGATTGCTAACTGTATCTGGTGTAGGCACTTCATTTAGATTCAAGGTTGTCTGAAATTTACTAATAGGAGCCCATTATGCTACAGTAACTTTTTTTTTTTTGATGGAACAGGGCCTGGCACATGCCAGGCATGTACCTGCCACTGTGCTCTAGGCCCAGCTCTACTAAAGTTTTCTGTCCACAGCATTCTGGAGAGTCTCCACCAAGTAATTCTAATCAGTGTTCTTTTATCTAATCAATCTGTCCATTCTAAGCTTGTTTCTAACATGCTAGTTCGTAGATTTTAGTTATTGTAATTCTTCTGTGCCATAGTAATAAATAGTAAACTGGAGTCTTTTTTACAGTTCTGATGTATAATTTAGTCTTTGTTCCTACATGTCTGCATGTACGCAGCACCATTTTAGACTCTTTTGTTCATAAAAACACAGAGGAATTGGCAAGAGCGTGAATAGTGTTATTCCTAACATTTCCCCTCCATGTCTGTGTATATAAACGGGTGTTACTTGTGGGCATGTTTTTTACCTTTTTTTGTACCAGGGATTGAGCTCACAACCTTGCACTTGCCAGCCAGGTGCTTTATGCTGCTAAGCTAAACCCCCAGCGTGGGCACGTTTTACAGATGTGAGTGCAGCGTGCAGGTGGGAGACAGGTTGAAGCCACTTCACTCAACTGAATACACTTGGATAGTTTAAGAAGTGGGTGGAGCATAGCTGATTTTATTATTTGGCTAATGCCCACCTCATTTTAATTTTTAAAGCAGGTTTATTGCATAGTAAGTCTATTCGTTTCCAAATGGTTGCTGGAGTGCACTGGACCTGCCTCATTCCTGCTTTCCTCTTGCGTTGCAGTTGATAAGCTCTATGAGCTCAGTAGCAGAGCACTGTCTCCCTTCCTTACTTCGCACCTTGTTTGACTGGTACAGACGCCAGAATGGAACTGAAGATGAATCTTACGAATACAGGCCTCGATCCAGCACAAAGTCAAAGGGGTAAGGGGCTTGCTTTCTACTGTTCTGTTGCAACACCTGGATGGCGCGAGTGATGTGTTATCAACCGAAGATTGATATTGTTTGGTTTCTAAGCAAAGAGCATTGATTACTTTTTGTATGAAGCCACCTTCATGCAAATTATTGGAAACAGGAAACTTTACATTTAAACTACAAGAAGAGCTACCAATTAGAAGCTGTGCTGCAGTACCCACCCTTACAACTAGTTATACGAACATTAACCTCGGGAGCGCTGTTTCAGTTTACTGAGGGGCTTTTAAAAAGGTCATGGAAGTTGAGAAAAAGATTCAAAGAAGAAAGAATCAAACATTCAGTGTTATAACGCTGAGGCACTGGTGCTCCAGTGCTAGAACCCCCTTTTTTGCCTTCAAATTTCCTGGAGAGGTGTTGGATTACATAGAATATCTGATGTGTTTCAGGTGATTTCTCACGGTTTGATGTTGGGCTTTGATAGATGCTGTTTGAATTTTCAACTTAGATTTGTGAGAAAGTAACTTGTATTTTCATCCAAAATTATACTCTTAAGTTCATAATAAAAAATTAATCAAATGTGAGTCAGTGCTGTTTTCTCAAAATTTAAAGTACTTTTCTTCTTATTAATTACTCTAGATTGGGTTTAATTTATAATAACCAAGTAGGTGTATAAACATTCAAACTATAAAAAGAAATGTATCATCCATAGTGGGTTATTTAAAAACTCCTTTTCACAATCACTATTCATAATAGGAACAAAATAAGCAACGTGAATATTTCAAAAACTCAGAGTTTTTCTTTCTCTTTCTAGTTTTTGTTTTTATTAGTACATGTCTTCAGTACTAATTTGGAGTGCTTGTTTCAGGGATGAACAGCAACGCGAAAGAGATTATCTTCTGGAAAGGCGGGACTTAGCAGTAGATTTCATTTTTTGTTTAGTGTTAGTCGAAGTTCTAAAACAGGTAAGCACTTCTGTCTGCAAAATCTGTATTTCTTACGCTTTGCCTGCTATGATTTCATGTCACAATTTCTTTATTTGGGATGTCACCTCTCAAGTTAATGGCCCACATAAACTGAATCCTGTAACTTAGTTGTGTGCCTGTCAGCTGCCTGGGCTTTCCTGCCTTGTGCCTAGCTATAGCCCCCATTCCTTTTACTTTCTATGCCATCCGAGGTATGGAATCTTGTTAGCAAAGTGGAGCTGGGTGGCACTTGTGTTAAGCATGGGTTTTCAGCTGTAAATACATGCTGCCTGTCACTCAGCTGCTTCCCTTTCATCTCCACTTAATTTTTCTTCCTAAGTCTGAAGCTCACATTCCAGCATGTAGTAATTGTGCAGTTAGAATCGAGGAATGGGAGTGATTTGATAAAAAAGACTGAATTGTCTAGGGTGAATGGTTTTCAGACAGGTGAGAGTACCTCTGATAATAAATGACTTGTATTTCTTCATTCACGAATATTAGAATACCTCCTATGCCCTGGCACTGCTTTTGGCCCTGCACTCATGAAGTTACATCTGAATTGATTGTTAAGAGATAAGTATATGTTAGATAATGTCTCGTGTATTTTTACTACTCAAAATCAATATAAGGACACATTCATAATTATCTGTATGGATTTTGAAAGGGGTGTGTGTGTGTTTGTATGTGTCTTAGGCTTTTTAGTCTTTAAAAAATGACAGATTATTTGAGGAACCAGGAACATTTTACAGTTTTGAAAAAGGAAACTTGTAAAAATAAGGAGTTTTGTTTTTGTTATGTAGAACTGGATATACTGACCATAACAAAATATAAAATCTAAGTAATACTCCATTTTTGACAGATATGAGAGTATTTGAATTATATCTTTGTTCACATATTGCTTTTATTTTTAGAATACATATAGAAAGACAGTTATTTCATACTCTTAAGATCTGCAAATAGGGGTTGGAGATTTAGCTCAGCGGCATTAAGTGCCTGCCTTGCAAGCAGGTGGTCGTGAGTTCGATCCCTGGTACGGATAAAAATGAAAAAGACAAAAAAAAAAAAAAAATCTGCAAATAAAAATAATTTCAAAGTTGTAAAGGAATTAACTCAAAGATTAAAATCACTTTCATTTACATAATTCCTTAAGGTATTTAGTAGATACCAGAAACAAATTTCCTCTGGAGGTTGTGCTAACAATCGCAGTTTTATTCCTGTGACTCCCAGTTTACCTGAAACGCTGACACCCTTAGACGGAAGAAACTGGAGCAGAGGAACTGGGGGCCCCAGGTGGCCTTGGACCATGAGTAGACCTGTTCACCACTCCATGCTTGATACCTGAACGCCAGTGTGCTGTACATAGGTCGCTTGAGTGCTTTTGTGAGCGACCAGTTGCATTTTTTTTCCTTAGGTAGCATAGAATTTCTGTTTCAGCCTGAGAAACTGCAGGCGTCCCACACTGACATCAGGCCCCACCATGATCCAATTTCACAATGGCCTTTTCCCCTTTGTTTCCCGTGATCGTTTCTTCATGGTCAGTCTCTTCTCATCAGAAAATCACCCCTAATTATACTGGCTTTGCAGCTTCAGTGCACAGGCAAACTGTGGCCGTGTCCTTCACTGCCCCCTCCTCCTCCCGTCCCCTCCCCTCCCCGTTCTCGCAGCCAGCAAGATGGTGGCGGTCCTCCCCTTCCTCCTCCTCTTCGCCCTTCCTCCACAATCCAGATAGTTTAGAAGACATTAGTATCTGTAAACTAAAGAACATTTCTTAGTGGGCTCTCTTTCAGCTTCACTGAGCAGAGTCTCTTGTGACTCCTGTCCACATGGCCTTGAAGTGTGAAACACTGACGCAGTGGTGCCCATAACTCCTTGTTGGTCTTTGGGCTCTGTCACCATTTCATTTCTACAACAGCGCCTTAGTGCCGTTCCTCTCTCTCACTGTCACCTTCATACCACATCAGCTGAAAATCAGGCCACCAAAACATAGATGCACTGTCTCTAAAATCCTGTGTGGAGGTTTCCCTCCAATAAAAGAGAAGTCTTTTTTAGCTTCTCTAAAACTAATAAAACTGCAGAAAATGCAGTGAAAAATCAATAGACTCTGTGAACTATCATGACAAACTAACCCAATTCTCTTGTCAGAATGACGCAGGGTTTAATAGACCCAGAGAATAATCGATGTAATATGTCTTGAATTTAATGGGGCCTCTACTTTTGTTCCGCATAGTATACCTATATTAAAATGTGACTCAATTTAAAAAAAATTTTTTTTGATGAGACAGACCAGGATGGTGAGTATTGTTACAACGATGTTCAGTATAAAGGTGTAAACTATTCCTTCTAAGTTAGTTCTTGACCTCATATATTATGAATTACTCGTTCCTTAGATAACTTGTTATGCCTTTAACAGTACCTACATGTCAAGTGCTGGTTAATGTGTATGAAGGATTCTTACCTCCTTCGTGCCAGCCAAGCATTATTATAAACGCTGGGAGATGGACATGATAAGGATTAATATGAGCTATTCCCTGCCGGTTGTGTGACACTGGCCAAGTTATTACCCATTAACTTTTACCTCTCTATAACAAAGGATAGTCATAGTGTATCATTTTTGTAGACTCATGAGAATTAAGTACGATGATGCCTTACACATGGGAAGTGTCAAATAAATGTTACCTTGTGTCTTCATTTTACAAGTGAAGTTGTTGTAGTGACTTGTTGAACATTATAAAGTATTTCATTTTTTGACTATGTTTTCTCCCTTTAATAATAAAAAGTTTTCTTATTAGTAAAACGAGAGAAAAAATCAGGTGAAAATGACAAGTATCTTTTAGAATTCTAACCATAACAAGTAGATAAAAATTTTACCTGTTTAAAAATAATGAAGATCTGGGATATAGCTCAGCAGCACAGAACCTGCATGGCAAATCAAGGTCCTGAGTTCAATTCCCTGTACCACTCCCAAAATAATAAATAATAAAAACCAATGAAATTGGAGGTTGGGGTATAGCTCAGTGGCCATATGCTTCCATAGCATACTCAGGGACCAAGGTTCAATAGTGCTGCAATAAATCAATCAATAAATAAAATGAAATTAAATATTGTGATATACTATGGTAACAAACTTTAATCAAAGTAATAGAAAACTTTTTTTTAAGAAGGTCAGGAAAATAGGTAATAACTGAAAATTATATATTGTTGGTAGCAGTGACTTCAGAATGCATGATAGTCTGTAAACAGCAATATGATATTTAGAAAGTTTGAAACAGTTTTCCTTTTTATATTGGATTTTACACATACGTTTATGCTTTGACACAATCAAGAAGGTGGTAATCCTAGCTTGTGAGCCATTTCACTGTCGTGGCTTAGTTTAACCATTATTATTGTGACAGATCAAGAGATGCCGATACAGTTTTTGTAGAGCAGGACCTCTCAGCATGTTTAGATTCATCATTAGCATTTTAGATGCTGGTTGGGGGCCCCAAAGCCTGTGGAGGGGGTGGGGCAGGTATTTGGCCTTCTGCTGAGCTGTGAATTTTTGTTCTGCATTGTGTTGTAAAGTAGTCATTCAGCTAATGAATGAACCTTGCTGACTCTCAGTATCTGTATCTTAACCTGATTTTGTTGTTCTTTCAAGAGCATTCAATTTTGGGAGGTTGTGGCAGGAATCTGCCTTGGGGTGGGGAAAACATGAGTATTCTAATCTGTAAGATTTAGAGCCACTTCTAAAATCACATCAGTCACAAGATGTGAAAATTTCCTGATGCTGAAGATCAAAATGTTACTGTATGAAAGTAGAACATTTTCTATTTGAACTGCAATGAAAGTTTTCCCCCTGCTTTTGGGAGTGGAGTTTGAAATCTTTTTTTGTTGTTTGAAAATGAGGGAAGAGGCTCTGCATGTCAGCTTGGGAGGAGTCCTGCGGTGGATGCAGAGGGCTGTTCCTTTGTTCTTGCTCTCTCCTTCCCTTCATCCCTATTTATACTGGGTCCCAACACTCTGGATGAGAACATCCTGCCTGGAACAACACAGCAGCATCTAGATAGCTTTGGTCACAGTCCAGTGGTCGGCTGCCCCCAGCACAGCCTTGAGCTCTTGTGCTTGCGAAACAGATGATGGGGTGGGGATGAGGGTGGGGGATGCTGGTCGTTCGCAGCCCAGGAGGTGATTCACAGTCTCCAAGCCTGCTCTGTGACTATGCAGTTACCTGCTACCCACTGAAGCCATGAATGGGTACTTTGAAACTACTGTGTTACATGGACACCAAGCACCTTGCATTAAAAGATAATAAGTCTTTGGAGTTTTTAAAAATAAAAAAATATAAACCCAAAGAGCAGAAGCAATTACTGAAGACCACTGCTTCATGAAATGTGTCTGAACTGAGAGCATCATACTTAGTCGTTCACCATATTGCTGAAACTTCTAAGAACCCCTTTACTGTTTGGTGAAGAGTTGATCCTGCCTGCTGCTGAGGACATTTGTCATGGACTTCTATTAGGAGAGGCTGCAGTTCAAAAGGTAGCTGGCATATGTTCCTCTTTCAGCTATCACCACAAGTATATGGATTAATGAAATACAGATGATAGTGAGGCACAGTTGTTAGCATTAGTAAGTTACTATGGTGTTGATATAGGGGATTCCAAGTCCCAACCTACTGTATGTCTGGTACAAGTTGGTGTTCTCTAAAATCAAAGAATGAATTTTAGGAACAATAGAGGTTAAGAGCAGAATATATTTATTGAGGGAAAGAAAGCTTCTGTCTGAAAGAGACAGAAGGGGTCCTGAGCAAGTTGTGAAAGACTGTCTTTTCTAGGGACTTTAATAGAGTGAAAATCTTGGGGTAAGACGAGTTCAAAGTGGGAAAAATTGGGAATTTGCAAGGCAGGTGGGCATAAGGTGGGACAGAACTATAGTTAACCAATAAGATTAATTGCACAAGTAAAATTGATTAAATCAGGGACAAATGGGGATGCGAGTCACGTGACTCTTCCTGTAGGGGT